TGGAGAATTAAGTGCTACCCTAGCTTATACATATTCTGTTTTACTTTCTGAATTCAGGTTATTTTATTTTTTTAGACTAATTCCTGCTCTTTCTTAAGTTGGATGAAAAAATTTCAGATAAAAATCTACTAAAAATTGTAGCAAGAAAATAACAGGAAATATAATTTTCTTTAGAAAACCGGGACTAATCTGGCGTTTGTGGATGTGCTTGTTTGTGCCATACATGCAAAAATTCCTCGCCTTATTTTAAGGCCTTTCAAGAAGATTGGTTTCACAAGAGCTGCATCGCACCACCCTCTTCTGCAGTGGGTTCTGTTGCTTTCATGGTCCCTGCTAACTCACTTGTCTCTGCAAAATACTGGTGTCACAGAGTAGTCACATTCTCTGTAAATGACGGTCAAGAGATCTTTTGTACAGGCCAGTGCTGCTAAAGGACAGGCATGTGAAGAAGCCCATCTGGCCATAAGCATGTGAGCTGACATTGTAGATTGTGTTTATGCAGGCCATGGCTGAACTGAGCAGCATAAAAAATATTGCAGCTTTACTGTCCCTTCTAAAAGAAGTTCCTGAAGCACCTGGTCATGACTTGGGTACTCTCCACAAGTCATAGAAGTCCTATCAATTATAAGAAAACATTTTATTTTACAGTGAGATCATTATCACTTACTGAAAGGCGTACATTCTGACTTTAACATTCATATCCCAACCTTGCTTTTGTGAAAAACCTTGGGAGATGCAGAACACCAGGTACTGCAGGACGAGCTGAGTGTCACAGTCACCAAGCCATTTGGCTTTCTGGTAGAACTATGTGTGCTTGGACAGGGCATGTGATGTCTGACAGGACATCAGATACTAATGTCAGATAGTTGGTCATATATCCTACAAGGCACTAAAATGATGTTAATCATTGTTGGTAGATGATTGCTATTGATGCAATGTACCTCATTTCTGTATATTCTTTTTCTCCTGCTTTATCAAAATATTAATAAAGATTAATAAAATATTAATAGAGATGAAGGATTCTTCTGGACAAAATGTCATGCTATTGACATCTATTCTGATATCTTGGTTGGCCTTAGAGTTGCTGTACAAATATGTGAATAAAGGCTGGAAGGAACTCTAAAGATCATCCAGTTCCAACACCCATGCCATGAGCAGAGACACTTTCCACTAGACCAGGTTGCTCTAAGCCCTGTCCAACCTGGGCTTAAACACTTCCAAGAATGTGGCAGCCATGAGTCAGCCTAGAGGAGAATTAAGAATAAAACTCCCAAAAGATTAGAAATCATAAAAATGTAAATAGTTCAAACTTTCAAAAATAGAGATAATTGGTAACTCTTTGCTTAATGTTCTAGATTTTGACAACTTAAAGCACTGCTATGCTATAGTCTTGCACTGACAGACGAATGAAATAAGTGCAATCAACTACATTCTTTCTGCTTGCTATGTGCGTGATTTTGTAAACTTGACACTGCAAAGAACATTTTTACAGTTGTATCAAATTCTAATTTCAAACTGACTTTCAAATTATTGACCTTTAGCAGTGAGATACAACCAACCATTGTCTGTATCACAGATCGGTGGTACACTATCCTTCACCAAAATGGATGTATTAGGAGAGGGGGTGGTGATACTGTCTATAGTGAGGCCATGATGCTACATCAGTTAGAAAACATGGAGAAAAACTGTCCAGTTTGTGTGGGAAGAAATCTGAAATGGTAATTTCAGGAAAAACATTTGTAATGTGCTGATACTTTGCTGAGATGTGAATGCTGAGCAGCTTCTGATGTGGCGCAGCCAAACGCCAGCAAGCAGCATGATCTGCCATTCTGCAGTACCCCTGCACTGAGCACATGGCAGCTTCCTAGTGACATTTTTTAAAGGATACCTTGCAAAAAAAGATTTTAGTGGTCCCTGTTAAAGCAAATCGAGAAAATGCAGGCATACAGACAATTTGGTATCCTGTCAATAGAATTACAGTTGGTACATGATATTTAGATGCAGTTCCAGCTGCTAAACCCAAAATCCAGTTCAGATGACAGGTATTTGAGGTGCTGTGGTAGCACCTGCAGTGCCTGCGCTCCCCTCTTGCAACTTTCACCTCTTGATTCAGACCATCACAAGTGGCCCAAAATGATTCTTTGGCCCACCCTTTCAAAACGTATTTTGAGATCTGGCCTATACATACATTACCAAAATATTTCAGGTTCTTTTCTTCATTTGTGAAAATTAATACTATTAAGCAATATCTCATTCTTATACTGCACTAAATCCTATATTGAAACTCGTGTGAAATGTGACTGGTTTCTGCTATTCATAACTATTCATCATTTCAGTGAATGAAAGTTTCATTTTCACAGCATTTTTTATTTTTTATCATATGTGTTTACAACCACTGGATTTATATTTGTTTTCAATTGCAATTTCAAATGTATAAAATAGCCCTAAATCTTTTCTTCTTGTCTCTAGCCATTCTGTGTTGGAACAGCCAACAAAACTGTGGCAACAACAACAAAACAAATGAATAATTTTGGATGTAAGGTCTGTTTGCTTTGAAAAAGATTAGTGTGTTGGTGCATCAGGATATTGCCAGATCAGCTTCCTTTCTCCTTTACTAGAGAGACTAATCTGAATTAGAAGGCTTACAAAACATATCAAAAGGAAGAATTTTGTTCAGGCTATCTCTACTGCAGTTTCAGTAAGTAATTACAGCATTCAGTTCTGGTTTAGGAAAATATAAATGACACCCTTGCTTTTCTGTATCTTGTTTAATAAGTTCTTGTGGTTGTTCACTGCACATCTGAGATCAAAAATGCTGTTGATAAATCCAGAGAACAAGATAGTGACTCACACATCCCATGGCTCACATTAAGTAAAGGCGTAGGGCACACTAAACAACAGAACTGAGCATGGTTTAATGATCAGCAACATTTCCACTATGAATTGTTCCTAAATAATCTAATTTGATGTACAATAATTCAATGTAAGAAATACCTCACCCACAGGTAAGTTAGAGAAATGCACCTCCAGGCTAAAGGGGTGAATATACAGGCCAGTGAGTGTTTGAGGGACATTTCTTCAGAGAGCTGGTAATTTCAGGGTCCTGTTTAGTGTAGTGGTCCTACCTGCCTATAGCTGTGCAGATAAAGACTCTGGGCTGCACAGTGCATGGATGCCTATATTTTCATTCACAGATATGAAAGAAACAAAACCCTTTCTAGGAGTGTTTTTGGGAAGCTGTGTTGCCTCCCTTCTTCAGCATGGACAAATTAATTAAAACAGATTTAATAATGGAAAGCTAGTGGATTTCTTTGTCCCTGAAATCCCTTCTTCCTGGGCAAGCACTCATTTGGTTCATATGCTTTTTCAGAGTCAGAAGGGAATCTCTATGTGAGAACCTCATGACAAAGTACTGGCAGGAGAGCAACAGAAATAAAGCCATAGTCTTACGATTGCATTTTAATAGCTTTCTTTTTATTTTAAGGTAACTAAACCTAATCTCCCAAGTTCTCCCAATGACAATATCCAATGTAGCATTGTTTTCAGCTACTAGTAGGGTTTTTTTAAGCCCTCTTTAGGCGATACATGGGGCCCACATAGTGAAGTCAATAGTTAGACAGGATATAATTTAGACTTCAGCTTCTCCCCTCAGTTTGAAATAAAATGATTAAATTTCAGGAAAACCTAAGGAAAGATTAAAAGTTTTATATCAAAAGTTGAATATTTTCTTTTGTTGTACCCTCTTTTTTAAAAGAAAATGGCGTTTCTTTAAAATAATATATGTTCTGATATATTTGAAAAGGGACTACTCCGAATTAAAAAGAAATTCATCCAGAAATTCATGCATGTAAGGGAGAGGAAGATTGTAGTCTTCACTGGGGCATTTAGTCAAAGGGTTTTAATGTAGACTATTCTGTTTTATTCATAGAATGAGGCATCTGCAAAGACCTGTTGTAAATAGCAGATGACCAATAGCATTTACAGAGCAGCAGTTAAGGTGACAAAATCTTTTGGGGCTTCTCTCCACAGGCAGGTTATAGAGTGATATTATAGCCTCTGATCCAGACTCGGAAAATGGTCTTAGTCTCTAAACCCATTAAAAGTAGTTCCAGGCAATAGCTCTATGTAATTATAGTTCTAGTAATCCCTGTGATGCCTTTCATTTCTTGTACCCCAGAGTTATACAAGGGTAGAGACCACTTGTAGCATACAAATTGTAAAGCTGACATGGGACTTAAAAATATGTGGAATATCCCAGATATGAACAGAGTAAAAAGTGAGAAGTAAGACATGAACAACAGGGTAAAATTACTGTCTAATAAGGTCCTCTAGTTTTAACTATTGATGTCGGTGGGGCTGTTTTACCAAGGATGCCCTGGGCACATTTTTTAAAACATTAGCTACTAAAGGGAATTCCTGGAAATCTCCTAAAAGCAAATGTCTCTCTTGTAGGAGTTCATCACATCAGCCAAATGAGCATAGGTCTTCTTTTTCCAGAAACAATCAGAAGAGTCAAAAAAAATCATGCTGTAGTTAAGTAGTCTGCTTTCATGCCTGTTAAAATGAGGAGTGTAAAAACTATTACTGTTATTATGGGGTGATGGTCACTGAACTGGCAAGCTGAAATTTTCTTGTGACTTTGGTGCAGAAAAAAAAGTTCATTTCTTTTAGTATATTCTTCTGGGGGAAAATGAATTCTTTTACCTGTTAGCACTAATGTGTACTACTATCTTAAGGCAATACTACCAACATGGTTTTACATTCATTGGCCTAGCATCAGTGCTGGTTGTTTTCACATGTGGACACCTGGCCATGGGAACCTAGGTTAACACTGCCTCATTAGCCTCCACACCGGCAGTTAAAGATAGATAATGACAAACACTGAGGTTGACTAAGGATTTAAGAAGAATGGGTGTTCATGGTACAAAATGGTAAAATCTGTGTTCAGTTGATATTAACTATGACAAAGGAGATGAATTGTTGATGTGCTGTTATTCCAGATTTCTAGAAGAAACAATGTGGTGGCAGAATTGAGACGTCAGTTAATGGCCACTGAGGAAGAAGATGGTTTATCATATCCTCCTCTGAATATGACCACTGGAAATCGTACATGCATCCTTTTTTATGCTAGTAATTTCAGCCTCAAAGCCAACAGTTCAGTTTTTATAGATTTGACAAATGCAACATTTGTAACACAGAATGTGGATATTTCTGACTCTGAGTGCTCAGACAGCAACACAACGTGAGTAGCACAAGAAATTTCATATCATAATACATGTGATTTGGAAAACTAATCAGAATTAGTGCAATATCAAGTTAGTGCTAATTTAATTTTCTTCTTCTAAAGCATCCAAAATTTAAAAAAAAAAAAATTGGATATTCTTAAAAGAAAAAAATAAAGACCCCAAAAATTGCTCAGATGCAGCCTATTATTTTCACATTTTTTCCTTCTTATGCTCCTTACCTCCTTTTTTGTTTATACTTGGTCAAAAAAGGTTTCCCTGTGCCTGATCTCACAATTGCAGAAACCTACTAGTATTAATGAAATCATAAATTCATTCCCTTGAAGGGGATTATTGTCAGTTACTAGTTGGTAATTCAACTGGAAGTACGTTAATGAAACATAATCTCAGTTTTCCTTTGCTTTGAAACACCTGCTCTTGGGTAAATAAAACCATAAAAATATTTAGTCATATTTTTCTGTGTACTGAACCTTTGCTATATGACTTTTGTAATTGCCTACTGATTTAGAATATTCCCTCCAATTGAAATGTCACAATGATCTAATTAAAACTGACTACTCTAACATTAAAAATCTGTTTCTTATTCTTAGACTGTCGTTACAATACACAAATCCAGTGAGTGGAATCAGCAGCCTTGAGATAAGGTAACTTATGATTTATTCTTAAATAGATCTTTACAACACCTGTTTGTAAATTAGGAGCAAAAAAAGAGGAGGATTTAAATGTTTTTGAATTTATTGTTTTCTCTTCTGAAGACTTAGTGTGCAGGAGAACAATAACACAGTCTTTATATAGAAAATATATTAATATACTCAGATAAAGTTCTGGAAAAATGTTGTAGGCAAAAATCCATGCTGTATGTTACTGGTATATGCAGCATCCTGTTTTACTAATAGGGTCTGTCCATGATCCTGTCTCAGGTAAATCTAACTGTGATTTGTAAAATATTCTAGAGACTGAAGTCTACTTGCATGGCCAGGACTGTATTTAACCCTCATGTGGATTGCCAGTGCACTCTATTAGTGCTAGCTTGTGGTTAATGAAGGGTGCAAAAGAATCTTAGTTTTTTGCTCCATGGGTGATGGCAAGACAATGTTTCTCCTACCATAAGAAGAGGGAAGAAAAACAAGGGAATGGGAAGACTTTTGAAGAAAATCAAAGGGAGAATCATAGAATCATTTAGGTTGAAAAATACCTTTAGGATAATTGAGTCCAATGTCAACCCAGTGCTGCCAAGTCCATGACTAAACCATGTCTCTAAGTGGCACATCTACATGGATTTTAAACACCTCCAGGGATGCTGACTCAGCCACTTCCCTGGGCAACCTGTTTCAAGGCTTGACAACCCTTTCACTGAAGGATTTTTTCCTAATATCCAACCTAAAACTCCCTGGTGCAATTTGAAGCCATTTCCTCTTGTCCTATGGCTTACTTGGGAGAAGAAACTGACTCCCACCTCACTACAACCTCCTGTCAGGTAGTTGTAGAGAGCGATAAGGTCTACTGAAGGCAGCCTCCTTTCTCCAGGTTAAACAACCCAGCTCCCTCAGCCACTCCTTATAAGACTTGTGCTCCAACCCCTCCACCAGCTTCGTTACCCTTCCCTGGACTTGTTCCAGTACCTCAATGTCTTTCTTGTTGTGAGGGGCCCAGAACTGAACAGCGGATTTGAGATGTGAACTCATCAGTGCCGAGTACATGGGGACGATCACTGCCCTGATCCTGCTGGCCACACTATTTCTGATACAGGCCAGGATGTCACTAGCCTTCTTGGCCACCTGGACACACTGCTGACTCATCTTCAGCCCACTGTCAAGCAGCACCCCCAGGTCCTTTTCTGCTGGGCAGCTTTCCAACCACTCTGTCCCCAGCCTGTAGCTTTGCATGGGGTTGTTGTGACCCAAGTGCTGGACATGGCACTTGGCCTCACTGAACCTCATACTGGCCTCATCCAGTGGATCCAATGGATCCAGCCTGTTCAGATCCCTCTGCAGAGCCTTCCTATCCTCCAGCAGAACAAAACTCCCACCCAACTTGGTGTCATCTGCAAACTTACTGAGGCTGCCCTCAATTTCCTTGTCCAAATAACTCATAAAGATATTAAGCAGAATTTGCCCCAACACTGAGCCCTGGGGAGTACTACCTGTGACTGTCTGCCAGCTGGTTTTAACTTCATTCACTGCCACTCTGAGAATTCACAGATGTTGTTCTTACAAGTGGATTCTGTGGATGGGGAACCATCTGCTAGTGTTTGCGTGCTGTCATTCAGCTGCTGGTCAAGAAATGTCAATTCTTTCCTCAGAAGCAGCAACAGCAGTTAAAATTATTTTCTTAAGCTCTGGCAAAGATAACGTGACCTGCTCTTTTCATTTTGATACCTCAGTTGCTTCCAATTATTTGAGAAGGATTTGGCCAGGGAACTTGCACTGAATTAAATTTCTATATATCGGATTATGAACTGGATGTTTGCTTGGGCAGCAAGACACATGACTTTTGCTATCCAAAACACTTTTCACATTTTGAATAAGAGGAATTGAAATCCAAGGAAACCAAAGAGAGGAAATTAAAGTAATAATGAGGGAGACAACAAAAGCTTGAACAACATATTAGTAAAAGAGCCAAAGAGGCATATGACATTAAAATGATAAGCTTGAATGAATAAATACCATTATTTACACTGAGACAGAAGGACATTCTACATTTACGTAAAAGAAGAACTTGTGTTGAGGAGAGTAAGTGGTGTGTTTCGAGTTGTATTCAGACTGAATAGAGACACTTATAGTCATTATCAGAGACCATGGCAGGTGGCAAAAAAACAGACATGCGTTGTTATTTATCTCTCCTTCAAGCATCTACAGCTTTGTGAAAGAACATAGTGTACAAATAAGATTGCTGTTAGTATAGTATTTTTACCTTTTTGACTGTTGTAGTTAGCTGTGTATAGGATTCTTGAGAACTGTCCTTGGTGATGGTGTCAAGCATGCCTTGGTTTCAATACTGTAAATTATCAAAGGGACATGTATTTCCCTAAACACCCTGGGGAATTAAGTAAATATTTTCCTTGGATATCATTCCAAAAATACTGTTCTAAACCCAAGTCTCTGTGCAAGTTTTATTTTTCCTTCTACTACAAGTCCCAAAATAACACTTTCTCTGATGCTACCCTGATGCTTTTCTGTCTTTTCATTGCTGCTCCTGTCCCACTCTCATAGAGTCAGACTCTCCAAAACTGTGCTCTGGATTTTCATTCTGCATCTTTGCTCATCCTAGTACAGGTCTAAGCTGCTCTCCTGAAATCTCTTTCTGTATTAATGAATCTGGTTGTTTTCTACATTTGTTCTGAATGTGACATCCTCAACATAATATCATGCTTTCTAATAAAACTACAGTTCCAAGAAAATAATATGAATCATAAAGCATCATGTGGAGCACGACACTGTGCTCCAAAAGCTAGCTAACAGCTACATCTTAAAGGTGTTGTCTTCTTTAAAGTAGTCAATAGTACCATAGACACAGAATCTTTTGGCAGTTGAAACATTTATCTTAGGTTTTGTTTTCTGAAGCAGACATAAGAAGATAAAATATGATGTTAGTGCACATGTATGGACTTAATGAGGATTATTCAGATTTATGTTTAGCCATCTGTTTGTTAAAAACTTATAATTTTAATTAATTATTGGACGCAAACTTTAATGTGGTCATAGTGTATCTGAAGAGAAGAAATTTGAAGCAGCTCTGCAAACAGACCTATTGTAATTTAAACAAGAATATCAGTACAAAAGTTGAATGGTTCATGTTTTCTCTCTTTTTAAGGAATCTTTTTTGTATTCCTTGAGCCTGTTTTAGTAAAGACAAAAATACTCACAAAGTTTCTCTTGACCTTTGCTTGTACTTGAACAAATAACTAAATACCAAAATGCATAAACAGCCCTTGAAGCTGGAATAAAAAAAATCAGGCTCTACAATTGATGAGGACTTGAAAAGAGAGCTCAACTATAATCCTGAGTGTTGTCATGCCCAGCAAGTAATAGTAGCATAGGCTGGCTGTGTTTTTCAGAAGGTTTGGATTTATTCCATGGAGTCATGTGTGATCCAGTTTTTTAATAGGCCCTCAGGGCATTTAGACACAATTTTTTATGGGTGACACAGGTGCTTAGCAATAAAAAAATGGAATACAGGAAGAATGTAGGGAGTAGCTTCTGGAGTAGCTTCCAGAGTAGCCGTTGCTTGGACATTCATTGTGCATGGACCTGCATGTGGGAGGTAGAGAGTGATTGCTTCTCTATTGCTTTTTTCCCCCTCTTTCCCTAACTTACTAAGCTGTCCTTATCTTGACCCACAAGTTTCCTCACTTTTGCTCTTTCTAAACTCCCCCAACCATCTGGTTGAGGATGAGGAGGCAGAAAAAAGCTATATGGGTGCTTGGCTGCTGGGTGATCTGAACTGACAACACTTCAGAAGCCTTTATAAATTAAAAATAGTACTAAAGGCTAACCTGCTGTTTTCTGTTGAATATTCACTTGATTTATGAGACAAAGGTGTCATTTTAGGCCTCTATTAGCTACCATAATACACTATTGTATGCTATATAATGCAAACATTAAGATATACTCAACAGAACCAAAGGAAGCCATTGATTTTTTTTATAATTCAGTAACACTTTATTTACCTTCCATATCATGTTTAGCATGTTTCTTGTCAAGGGCTTCGAAAATCTACAGAGATACAATACAATCTCTGATTTCCCCTTCTGATAAACTTTGATTACATTTGTTGTTGAAGATTACACCTTGGTAAGATTATGTTCTGCCTTAATAAACAGGACACAAGCAGGGCAAAGAGGTGGAAAGGAACAGAGCTTAGAGCCATAACTGCTTTTTTTTTGCCTTGAAAAGTCCATTTTTTTAGGTATAGGAGAACATCCCTTGAAGACAGAAAGTGACTCCAGAGAGGATTACGTTCAGGTAGCTCAATTTATTCTTCAATAAAGGAGACTCTAACTTCAGCAGCATGAGCCAGATCCAGAGCCTGCCCCTGTTACCAACACTGGTCTACTCCCATGTACTGAGCAGCTGGTCACATCCCACCTCCTCCTAGCAGCTGGAATAGCTGTTTCATCCTGTGCAAACAGCTGTCACCTCCCTCTCCCTTTCTCTAGCAAGAACTACAGTCCCACTCATCCACTTACCACTGAGAGGTGAGCTGTTAGGGAGTGGTTGTAGAGTGTTGTTGTGATAGTGTTAGAAAAGTAAACTATTGCTGCAGCAGGAGTGGGAGCTGTGAGCAGTAGGTTTTTTGCTGGAAGAAGCATCATCTCAGCTCTCTCATAAACTGATACCCAGATGTTCAGTCACTTGTCTGTCATTTTCTCAGGGAAAAAGTGTCAAAGTGGATGGAAGTGCAGGGCATTAGTATTTTCCACACTTACATTGACACATACTTGACTGTTATTGTTGTTCATAGCATGTAAAGAATAAAATTGATGCAAACCACATATTTTAAAGTCTTTTATCTAACAACTGTGTTTCTTTCTGAATCTTTAAAACAGTAGTAATTCTAGCTATGTTCCTTTTCATAAATATCTCTGCTTGTAATGATTAGCCATGTGAGACGTGATCAGTAACAGCTGGTGGCAGAGTTCATACATTTATCTGGCACAAAGGGAGCCTGGCCCATGACCAGGAAATTTTATGCCACCATACATAAAGTACATGATGTCTCTAATGTACATAATTGTCTCTAATGTTTAATGCAAACATAATGTCCCATAAAAACCAAGGTATTTTCAGTTCTGCAGATAAAGCCTTTGTTCTCTCTCCCTTCCTTGTCATTCATTTGCTGTAAGGTGCTCTTTCTATTTGTTATCTGCTCATCTGAGAAAACATTAAACTAAATGAAGCAAATCTATAGATTTTTATTTTGTCTTTTTTTTTTAATTTAATGAGTCATAGTTACATCAGTTATCTGTTAAGTATGTGCTTGTTGGAGGCTATTCACTATCAGTTGTTTGGAAAATGCTAAGGATAAAAGCCTGTATTAGTAAGTCAACCATGTTCAACTAGTTTATTAAATAGAATGTTAATTCTCATAAATCTGCAAGTTAACGTAACATTTTAGTCTTTGGTGTAATGTGAAGACAACATTCTCTTGGAGGATGTACTCACATGCATGGCCTTATAAAACTTGTTTGTTCTTATGGTAGGTTTACATAGAATTGCCTTGTTTACCACTTTTCTCATCCTCTCAGCAAAAAACAGACCACATCCAGCATCTGTGGTTGGCATAAATATTTAAGGTTATAATTGCATTTGTAACTGGCTTTCAGCTAGTGCCTGAAGCATTGCTACTGGGACACCATGGAAATTCTGTTCAGATTGTACTGTATATCAGAAAAAGATTCCTTTCTTCTAGCAATTAATATCAAGTCTAATACATGATTTAATTTTGTAACTCTATAACAACAGAATTTTGTCCATAAATATTTGTGAATGCGTACTAGATAAAATTAATATTTTTTTTCTTTTTCACTGATGCTTGCAGCTGAATGTTGTCTGGATAAACCTGTTTAGACTAAAAATGTAAGGAAGGCCATAAGAAAAAGCATTCTTTTCTCAGTTTAATGACACTTTGAGTTCTAAGATTCCTTCTGAGAGTTTTGATACTCTTGAGATTTTTGAAGTTACATGAATCAAAAGCCACATATTATTAATTAAAAAAAAAAAAAAAGAAAGAAAGGGTTCAATTACTGTAGTAACCCAACCTGACAAAATTTGTGTTTAGACTCTGTGTTTTGTGGATGACATGATACTGAAAGTAACTAATTTGAACAAACAAGCAATATTCTACAGTGGAGAATATTCTCTCTCTATGTACATATACCCTATCTATATACATACCCCATGCAACATAAAATAGCCTGCATTGTGCCCCATTTATAGATGAATGCTCATTTTTTCAAACCTATCATTATTGCATCTAAGGTATTACCTCAAATTTAAGTCAATATACAATGTTACTCATTGGGGATAGACATAATAGCATATTTCATTTAGTAATAGGTGTCATTGATTGCTAAAAGGATTCCTTTTCTTAATCCCTGGTGCTCACCAATAATCAAAACAAATCACAGGCAAACTTTATAGAGGAATACATGTGTAGACCAGGTAGGGCTAAAGTTTTAAGCAACATACAATAAGAAGAAAGGTTTATCATTTCCTTATGAGATAGCTTGAATGCCTAGAACTGGACAAAAAGCAGTAAAGATTAGGACATAGTCCTGATTTGTAAAGGATCAGGATGTACTTCCATATGTTCTCAATTATTTCTGTTTCAGAACATTTGAGAGGTGTTCAAACAGTATTGGTAGTAACATACATATAAATTCCATTATTGTAAACTGCTGGAAACTGCTGCAATACCACACATACACAGATGTTTTCAAAATGAGAAATATATATTGTGCCTAACCTACTACAAGTTATGAAACTAGAGCTGACAAAACCCTCACTACCCTCCACTGAGAGAAAACGATGTCTTCTATGTCAAACTCAGACCTTTGCAAAGGAAAATGCCATTTAGCCATTTCAGCCAAGAAAGAATTGCAATGATAAATTGGAATGGCTGTCATGCCTGTACCTATCATAAAAGCAATTTTCAAAAAAAATCCCATAAAATGTTTATTCAGAGCCACTGCAGGCTTTCTGACAGTCCCTCAGCTTCTCCTCCACTGATTATAAACTGTTGGTAACTTATGAAATATGCCACTGGCAGAGGCCCTTGAAAAATGAAATTGCATTTGCTCCTTGCTTGCCACACCTGTGGAAAGCTGTGCTTGTGAGATGAAACTCTAAGATGTAGTAAATACATTCACAGAATCAATCCCAATGACATGGGTGGCCATGTCATCATCAGCTGTGATGTTTTCAGTCAGCAATAGTGAACCTTTATCTGCCACTATTACTTTATCAGATGGATATTAATTTTTTCCTTCTAACCTTTTGACTTTTTTTTCTGTTGTCTTTCTAGGTTTTTAATGACCAACAAGTTCTATGAAGGTTCAGCTAGACAATGGTTCACTTTAGATTCAGTTGAGATCATACAAGACGACGAAAAGTTTGCTAAATTTAATGTTTCTGACATCTCTGCTCCTGCAGAGTATTCATTTCATTGTCAGCTGGTGGGAACAAGCAATCTCTATCCTGCAAGGCTTGTTCCAGCCAACAATGAGGCAAAAAATTGGGATATTTTCATTTCCAGGTTGCAGGTGAGTATGCATTGCCATTTCAGAGTAACTCCAAGAACTATTACTTGCTATTGTAGATGCTGAATGGTACACATTCGTAATGCATTTACTTTCATTTCAGTCTGAGGGAAAATAGAGGGAAAAGCTCCCCTATGTGAGCTTTTCAGTAAGGGTAAAAAAGACGCCAGCTGCTGAACAAGGAGAACATGAAAGCACAGCTTTGAAAAACAAAACTATGAAGTCGTCCACAGAAAAGAAAAACCAATTAAACCAAATGTACTTAATCAGGCAAAGAATGACTAAGCCCCCATGCTTGTTTAATGAATTGGGCTGCTCTTGGAAACAGAGGCCTCTTAGGTGGGTGGCTTTATGCTGCTTACTTTGTTTATATTTGATTTCTTGGCACTTTGTTTACCTAGGAAAGTACAGCTTAGTGTGGTTGCTGTTTCCAGTGACATAGACTGTCTGTACTCCTACAGACAGAAACAAAGCCCAGTGCAATTAGATTTAATGGAAGGTTTGCCCTGGACTTCAGTTAAGAGCCATACTAGGTCCTGCATGGCTGAGAAGGAAAGCAACTGGCTTTTTTTGAATGAGACACAGCTTTTCTGTGCATGTAGTATAGTAGTACAGACTACATATGTGAGGTGAAGATGGTTAAATCTGTATTATTTTGAGCTTTGTTCTTGAATTAGGAGGAGCATATCAATATTTATATCTTAAAACAATATTGCATTAAGATGCAAGTTGAGATTATGGAAATAATAGGAATAATTTGAAACTGTAGTCTATTTGTCAAACATGAGCGAACCCTGTGATAACTAGATAAAAATACTGGTGTAATTGTACTTATGATTGATAACAAACCAAATCTCAATAATCTGGCTCCAGACCCGACATTATTTCTTAAATAATGGAAATCTCAAAGGAACATCATTGGTGCTGAGATTTCTACAAATTCCAATATCAGGTCTCACAATTTTTTAAGAAAAAATGTAGCAATACACACCATTTTTATGAAGGTTACTGCTGATGGTATTTTTTATGGAAAGGCCTGAAAACACCAAAGTTCATGCAACTGTACTTTGCCTAGTCAACTCTTTGGAGTTAAACTTTTGCATCGCTGGGATGTAAAAATACATGAACAATGAAAATACAAAGTGTGCTCTTACACTTATCTTACACTTGAATTTCTGAATACTTTGAAACTAATGCTTTTTTAAAGAGGCCTTACTCCATCCTTAGTAAGCATCCTTTCATTGTGGTCTTAATCAATAGTAGAAGTAGTAGGTTTCCCACCTTCCTTATTGATTTGAAGGAGCAGCTCCTTCCACTGTTCAGACAACAGAACTCACAGTTCCTCTTGAGACACACCTTTTTCTCTGTTCAAATCCTAAGTATGGAACACAACCTGAAAAGTCTTGTTCTAATTTTTATTGTTGTGTGAGAAAACAGAAAGTCACCATTCTGTGCACATTTCCAGGTTCTGTCTGAACTAAATCATACTTTTCCAGATATCTTCCACTGATACATAGGGAAATACAATCTCAATATCAGAGTTTGCTATGGAATGAGGTTTAGAAACCCCCAGACTCTGTTTCATGGTGAAAAAAGCATGTGGGATGTGCTCAGTGGTTGCAGCCAGCACAAAATCCTGTTGCTGAAACTGAGGAACATGATTTTCATGTCAGTGTTACACAGTGACTTAAAAACCAGGATCCAATGCCAATAAAATTGGTACCCAGCACTTTGCAATGCTGGGTCCTGAAAACAGTATCACAGTAATCGAGGGACATGGCAGCTGCACAGGACAGCCTTGCTTCCTTGTTCCAAGGCAGGGCTGAACAGATGCAGCCTTTCATTTCAGTTCTGGAGCTATCTCACTCACTTCTATCTAAAGAACCTCTGTGGGATGCTGTCTAGGCATTCTCATAGCCCAGGAGGTCCCCACTCATAGCTGTTCACAGCATCAAAACTTGTCTGGGTTTGGTGGGGTTTTCTGTTGGTTGTTCTACCACACCCTTTTGAGGGTTCTCAGAACTGTCAATGAAGTTAAAGAGGACACTGCTTTTCTGTACTGTGTGTCACAGTAGTTTAAAAGCACCTGGTACCCAAGAAAAACTACCAAAAATTAAATATCAAGAATATTAGGATTCTTTGTGGCTAAAATATTTCTAAGTTCAAAAATTAGATGTTTAGTGTGCACTTAAGAGCCATGAAAACAATATATTTTACTTGAAGGCTTTTTCAAGCTTCAAATTATGAGAAAACGCCATTCAAAAATATTTTTAAAACTAACAGTAAATAAAGACTTGTATAACCAAGAGAAATTACACTAGTCCAAACACTAAATTTGAAATTTCTGCAGTACAGGGGCCTGTATCTAAAAGACTTTTACATTCATAAAAATTATAGAACCACATGTAAGTAATTTTAACTTTTCTGTAGGTAGAAATACTGCTCGGAGTCGCATTTTTAGCTCCCACCTGTGATCTAGCACCCCCACAGAAGTGATGAAGCTTCAGAAAAACAATAAAATAGCCCTACATTTTCTTAATCTCCTGTCTAAAAGTAGACATAGCATTTTAAGAATGTACAATTAAATCTTTCACCTCCAAGCTTCAATAAGCACAATCCAGAATAAAAAAAAAAAACAAAAAAGGACCAATAGAATTGAAATAATAAAATTAAGTATTTCTGACTAAATCTGAAGTGGTAAAGCCTTTCTTAACCAAGCATACCTGGTAAGAGATTCACAGATTCCTTATCAATGTGATAAGCAGTGTGTATTGTTTTCCAGAATGTCAATCAATTTTTTGAATACAAATGACATAAATCATCACCTGCTTTCTGTTTTTATAGTAAATAAGTCTTTCAAATTACATTTCATGACTCCTATTCACATTCTCATTTGTGTTCAAAGCAGTGGCTTAACAAACAAAGGCTTTTGCAATCACTTGCGTTCTCTAAAACAGTGCAAGCAGTTATCGAGCCCAAAAGCTTATTTTCACTAATCCTGCTTTAATCAGAAGTCTTTCACCTTTGGTGAAAGCAGACAGTCTTTGCAAGTAAGTTCCCTGATCTGACTTGGAAAGATGCTTCTAAGAGGCCTAGAAAAGGTTGAATTGCTAAAATTACCTTCACCTCCACATTACCTAAAGAGCCCTTAGTTCTGTATTTAGTAATGGTTTTATTAATCAGCACTCTGAAAGGTACAGACATTGGTCATAACACACATATTTATGAACATATTAACTTTAGGCACCTGAGCCATGAGTGGACTGAAACCCAGAGTGCTCACTGGTGTAGCATGGTATGCAAGCCACAAATTAATTTGCTCAATATTTGTACCAACAGCTTTCCTAAGAAGTAGAAACTCTTTTATTACCACAAATAAATTAAGCTTTCCATTTAGTTTATTGTAAATCATAGAATAATCATGGAGTGTGAACACATAAAAGTAGAAATCCATGATCTTCTGCTTTCTTGCATACTGTCTGATGAGAGAAGTGATTTAAATAAAATAACCCTTTTTAATTTTATTCTATAATATTTTATAGGAAATAGTGATTTTTAAGGGGGTTTTAAGTGGTTTTGTTTTTTTTTTTTTTTTCCTGCTTTTTAACAGTGGGTTTATGATGTTTGGGGCTTTCCTTACACACCCATTTCAAAGATTCTGTAAATGCATAAGAATCCCAGTCTTTGTTTTTCTTAAGAAAGACTCAAAACCAGATTAGATTAATTCTCTCCTTCCTTTTCTTCAAGCAGTTAGATTCCCTTCCCTCTGAAGGAATCAGTGTCATTATGTAGAAGGGAGATTGTCTTCCCTTTCTTTATGGTTTTCTAATCCTTTGATTGGGTTGAACAAAATGTCTAAAGTTAGTGATTTCAAAGGCATTAAGTTTGTTGATACTTTTTGTACAATTGGGGGCTATATCTCTAAATTAGTTGATTTTTCTGAAGAAAATAGTCCAATAGGAGCTCAATCAGCAGCAGACATTGAGAATTCAGTCAAAGCAGAGAGTTTACAGATTTTTCTAACTGCTGGAAAAGCTTACATATGTTAGTAGACAACACATATCCCATACCTCAATAAAGCAAGTCCTCCCTCCTATTTTGAGTCTTTGATGTCTGAGAAGGGAGGAAGAAAGGTTTCACAACTGTTTTCTCCTTGAACTTTCACAAAAATTCAGCCATAAAAGGTCATCTTCATTAGGCATGTTTTAGAGTAGGTTCCAGGAGTTTTGTTTGTGAAGGAGCTATTAATTAAATCTCTCAGGGTATTTCAACAAATCTCATGATCTCAGGAGGCCTTAACTCTCATGCTTTTGAGTGCTTTGAGTTTCCTGGTTCTGAAGTGGTCATTGAGCTGATGATCAGCAAATACTGATATACTGATCACATGGATACAGAATACTGAACTGACTACAATGAATGCAGAACACCAATCACATTTCTGCTTTGGGACTTTACTTCTAAAAGTAATACAAGTTTCTGAAGTGGGAAACCTGTTTCTTGCCAAAGAAATGGATTCTGCATCTTTGATTTCCTGGGTGAAAAGGAGGCCTAGAAAATTGTTATGCAGAGGATTTTGTTTGCACTCTTTATAACGGGCAGAGTACGATTGGTAATTAAAAGTTGTGGGGTTTTGTAATTACCACATATATCCTGCAAGTAGGGACTACACTCCAAGCTTAATTGCAGTCATCAGTCTAGGTTCCTTCATTTTCAGATTCAAGGCTTCAACATTGAAAACAACCAATTTTCCTATGCAAGTGACTGTACAGGCTTCTTCACTCCTGGAGTCTGGATGGGCCTGGTAACATCTGTAATTTTACTGTGGATCCTGACTTACGGAATCCATATGATCATGCAGCTCACAACAAACAGCAGATTTGATGATCCCAAAGGTCCAGCTCTGTCAGTTCCTCAGACAGAATAACCCTGGACTGACTCAATGGTGCTGTGTCTTTTCTTAGTCTGATGTTTATGATTTTTATAACCTTTCTACTTCATAATATGTGTAACCTAAAAAGATAACATAGCAGAAAGAGATAATTAAACTACATATAAAAATGATTCCTATGCCTGGAAACAATAATAAATGTACTTTTTATTGCCATCATTTGCTAACAGCTATCTGTGTTAAGGTTTTTGTGAGGTTGTAGAGGTTATTTTTCTCTCTGGCTATTAGAAAGACCATTAAAAATTGCCTTCAGATTAACTATTATTGGCAAAGAAAGGATATCATGACAGAGATAATTGTGAAGGATAAATAACTTATTTGATGGGAAACTATATATTGAAAATACTGGTCTCTCTAAAGGCTCTTCAGTGAGTATGTCATGATGATGCTACATCTTTAAAAGGTTGAACTATGTCTTGTAATTTTTTCTCTTGAGTAAACCATCCAGAAATGTACAGAACTAATAAAGCTATTAAGTCACTAACTATATGGTCTTGAGAATTCTTTTCAAAATACATCACTTTGTTCAGATGTGGTATCACAAAGCAGAATCGGCAGATGAAGGCTTAGCTTCCCTCTGATGTTGTCTTATGCCTGTCAGAGTTATGTTGAGTAATACTGACTCATATTTGTTTTAACCATGGACAGCTGACGGAGCAAGATCCATCTTGTCCAAACCGATCACAAAATTAACTTGGTGTAATGGCAATGAATGCAACTTTTCAAGTCCAGAACCTATTATGATTCAATGTGCCAGTGCAGACAGCATCTTAACAGAGATAAGGTAATTTTCTTAGCATCTCCCCATTTCCAGGTATCTTTGGAGTAGTTATGAAATTCATACAAAGAAAGAAAAATAATATTATATAATGTCATTAGAAGCACTGTGCTAATGTACTGTTTAAGTCTGAGAATGTTATTGTCATCTCATTGATACTGGAAGCCTGAAAACATTCAGAGTGTGCTATATTATTGTGCAATTAATAAAGACACTAGATCTTCTCACTGGACAATCTAACTGTGGAGTGAATTACTAAATGTTATAAAGAATTAGGAAATAGTAAAAGAGCAATGGTAAAATTGTAAAAAATGGTGCTAACAACATCTTTATTCTTTCTTCTGGAACATTTTTTATGACTGTGCATGTTCAATTAGTAGTTAAAACCCCCTAAAATATCATTTTGACAAAATTACATTTGTCACATGAGAAAAATTCTAATTTTTCTGATCTTGATCCATGTCATAGTAGAATGATACACCAGAAAGACATTTCAAATCAACTATTTAATTAGATAGACCACAGCTTCTGTCCATTTTTTCTGATTGTCACATTTTTATTGTGCAGTCCAAAAGGTAAGTTAAAATGCTATCTGAGGCTATTCCTCCTGAACTGTTCAGTCCTGACCTGGAAAACAAAAGGAAAGATGTCATTTAACTACCAGAGGTGTCTCCTCAGCTGTAATATTTTTCTCAAATGGTTTTCAGAAACTCAGTAATGCATTTGATCTACATAAAACCTCTGTGTTAGAAGGGCATGTTTTCTTTGCAAAAATTAGTTGCCAGGAGACCACTGGACTTGTTTTATTAATTCTCCTTTCAAAGAAAGTTGCATGAACACGACAACTGGAAATTGACATAATCGTCATGCAACTGATCACTAGAAGAGAGAAAGGCTATTACGAAGGATGTGGTTTGTAGAAGACAGCTTTCTTATGAGTTTTATCTAGAGTCGAAAAAATTCGGAACAAAATTAGATTTTGTTCAACAATGGTGATATGCAATACCTGAAGAAAAGCTTTACAAGGTCACCCAACTCAGGATCCAATCTCCAGCAGTAGTATGATTATGGTGAGCACCTAGTAGTACTTCCTGCAGATGTTCTCCCATTCTCCATCGTTTAAACTCAGGTACTTCCTCAGCCAGAAGCTGCCTTTTATTTAATAACTCTGGGTAAAGTTATAGCCCATGAATTTGTTCAGTTTTCCCTTGAGCCTGTGGACTCCAGGAGAGTGCACAGTGTCCTGATTGTAGTATGGCACTGGGAATACTTATATCCTCTCTTGCTTGCCTGGGATTGATTCTGGAGAACAGGAGAAGGAGACAGTTTCATATACCCTGTGCCATGGGGAAGACATAAGTGTCTTCCAGAAGAGCTGTTTGCAGTGTTTGATATTACACATGCCAGGGAGAAGGGAAAGGCATTTTTAATGGAGAAGAGCTTTCTCTTTCTACCTTCTCTGACAATGAATGCTTTGGCAAGTAAGGTCTGTGGAGGCATATAGCCTCTTTCTACAGTGAGTTGGGATATCCTTGTTGCAGAAAGATCAAACCACATTTTGTAGCCCTTAATGTGGTAGGGTTATTCTTGTGACATCTGTGCTGGGAAAGACAGTGGAAAAAGAAAGGAACTGAGCCCTAGCTGTCCTTGGAGCCATGTGGACGGGGCTTTGGACACAATGGCTGGTCCATCTTAGAGGAGGATCAACTGCTCTCTGTCCACATGGGGTGGGTTGACCTTGGCTGGTGATCAGACACCCACCTTGGTGCTCTGGTCTCTTCTCACAGAGGCCACCCCTGCTGCCAACACCTGGACACAGACACCAATACACCACCTCAGAGGGCCATGTGTGCTGCTGGAGTCCCCATGCCTGCTCAGACCCCTGTAGCTGTATATTACGCTGCCCTGTGGCTGAAGACAGAAAACTGATCTTTTATTTTAGCAGTGCTGGATCTCTTCTTTTAAAATAGGGCTGGGCCTCCAGAAATTCTAGGAGGATTTGGCTCCTGTCTTTCTTTTTTTCCCTTTCTGAAGTTAAAATCTACCAGAGGCCTTCCAGCTCTGCGTATTTCTGATTCCACAATTCAGCTTAATCATAGGTGTACTTGTTAAAACATGCCTGATTTGGGAGCTGTTCCAGACAGAATATGAGCTCTGTCTGGAAAGTGTGAGCCTTTAGAACTTTTACCAGAGCTCCATGAATTTATCAGAAGTATTGACCTCTGTGAGTGCTAGCTTACTTCTATACCAATTAAAAACAAACAAACAAACAAACAACACAAAACAAAACAAAACAAACAAACAAACAAAAACCTTGAAAAAATAAATTTAACTTTGAAGAATCAAGATAAAACCCGAGAAAACCCAAGTCTAAACACAAAAATCCTGAAGCTATAAGTTAAGGTATTTAATCACAAAATTCACCAATAATCATTTGTTGGAAGGGGTAGCTGAGATGAAGCTAGAATCTGAACGTCCTGTTCTGATACAGGTTTGCTTTGTGTCCTGGTCTGTTGGTTTCTCTGCCTGTCAAATTACTTATTTCATAAATCATCTAGAATCCCTGAAATTACTTATAATGAAACAGAGTTATAATGGAAATAGTCCAAGAGTAGTATTTTTATGTAGGCAGTAAAGGAAGAAGGTAAGTAATTCCATCTGCAGGGGAAAACTCAACAAAGTAATTGGCTCCTCCTTTCCTTCTGTATGACTGATAAATAAACAAAAGGCAGTGCAGAGACATTAGAGGATTCTGTAATTATTTAGTATAAACTGAGGTCAAACAGGAGAAATTAGATGCTGAAAATAAGGAGTGACCATGAAAAGCTAACTCCTCATTTAATCATAGATAAAAGAAGCCTGAGTGTTGGATACTGGTCGGTGCTGGAAAATAAAATTGAAAACAACCCAACAGTGGTCTCAGTAGGTGGTGACAATTGTGGGGTCAACTGTAGTGACAATTTTACTCTTACACTGCACAAGAGGATGAGACAACCCACACAGAAGGGCCAGGGATTCCTTTCCCTGAAGGCTGTTTTATTCTCTTGCATTCTGTGGAGGGTTGACTTTGGTTGGCTTTCATATGCCCATCTGGCTACTCTCTCACTCCTACTCAACATAAGGGGATGAAAATAAGATACAGAATCTTGTGGGTCAAGATTAAGAGAGAGACACCATTTACCATTTACCATTATGGGCAAAACAGTCTTATGGAAGATTAATTTATTGCCAATTGAAATAGGTTGGATAATGAGAAACAAAAACAAAATTAAAACAATGCCTTCAGTCTTCACAAATGCCAAAAACCCCTGTAGTGTCTAACAACTTCAGTAAAGAAACCTTATCTTCAATTTGCTAATAAAGGTTCTACTCTCAGATTAGTCCATTGCTTATCAAAACTTAATGCAAGATCAAAGAGAAAAGAACAATTTCTTCAGGACTCAGATTTCAGGCTTAAAAATTGTTGAGGGGAGGGGAGGAAAAGAAAAAAAAAAGGAACGAAATCTTGCCAAGGGGTGGGTCCCTAAGCAAGTAGCCTCTCATTGCCACAATGTGGGACAGTGCCTTTCTTAGTCTTCCTCCTTGTGTAGGTGGAAAGGAGACTTACGACAGTGACTGAACCCAAGAGCAGATCAGCTGCTACAGATGTCCCACAAAAGAAGTGGCTTCCTTCTCCTCACCACAGCTGTTTGTATACTATTTGTATACCTCTAGTGTGAACACACGTTCTCTGCTCTAGATTATCTGGATTTCTGTGTAACTCCTGAAGCTGGTATGTTCTTGAATTATTATAGCTGAGCTTAGTTTTAGACTGTTTTATGTGTCATTCATTATTGTCATAATGGAAGATAGTTTACTGAATGATTGTATATTTTCTGCTTTGCAAATAACAGTGTGTCCAGTGAAAGACTGGGAAACCCAAATTTAGTCTGTCTTAATGCTTCTTTAACTAGCTCTGTAGAAGCAACATAAAATGAACGGTGTACACTCACCATGACATCGCATGCCACTATCTTTAGTTAATGAAAACTGTGAAAAAAGTGCAATATTTGCAATACAAAAAACCCTTCAAAAATGCTTTTGTAAAAGTAATTTAGGAAGATGGATAAGTTAAGGACTTTCTGATAGAATGTTTTGAATTATAATTTCATATATCCTATTTGTTCTGGATAAATATGGATGCATATATAAAGCAGAGTGATCACTTTAGCTATTTAACTGATATCTTTCACTGTACTGGCCTGATTTAAGATACTACTGTCCCTATCTACCCTGCCTTTCATTCTTGTATACCTGTGCTTCAGCTGTTTGTTAAGTCCACACTGCTGTGCTCCCTTTTCCCACCAAAGATATACCAGATTTTGCACTAGAGTAGCTGAGATGCAGATGCTTGTCTGGCTCTGTCATTCCTGCTGCTGAGTAATAAAATCCTGGCAGAGGAGAAAAGCAGACAGCTACAAACACTGATATCTTAAAATATTATAGCAATACTGGGGAAGGATTTTTATTATAGCTGTCAAAGGGGGAAAACAAAGCATGGAAATAGCCAGGTGCCTTGTCAGGATCAAAGACCACATTACTGATAGCCTTAGAGGCAGGACCAGCTCCATTTTAGGGAACTTGTTTTCTTTCTGTGTGTGTCTCAACACATTTCAGATAATAACCTATGCCAGGACAAGTTCAGGAGTGCTCTGTTTCATATCCTG